CAGTGTGATTGCTCCGATTGGGTGGTCAGGAAAGGACAGTGTTACAAACACGGAGACATAAGAGTCTATATCATAGTCAGATGTGTGTTTATTGTTGTCGTGTGTGTGTGTGTGTGTGTGTGTGTGTGTGTGTGTGTGTGTGTGCGAGACAGAGAGAGAAAGAGAGAGAGAGAGGGAGAGAGAGAGACAGCCTGGGCAAACTGACTGTCGCATATCTACTTGCTCGCTTGCCATTCTGTGTCAACCTACGACTGTTGCTTGTCATTTTAGCCATTGTTTAACCACATCCGTATCTGCCTGTCTGTCCACTTTAGTTGTGTTAACAAAATGTCTGTCTGGCAGATGATGTTTCATGAGTTGACCAGCCGACACACGAGTGCAGGACTATTAAAAAGTCCAGTCAGGAGCCAAAATGTTGACACTGACCACACGTCCTGCCCCAGCGTGGACACGTCATTTTAAAACTTACAAGTTAAGCAACCATGGAAATGAGGTGTCTGAGAAGGATTGTAGGAGTGACCAGAAGAGATAAAGTCAGGAATGGGGTCATGCGAGATAAAGTTGGCACAGAACCAATTCTAAATTACAAACAAGGACAGCAAATCAAATGGTTTGCCTACTTGGAGAGAATACCTTCTGATGCTGTACCATACAAGGCATATAACGAAAAGAGGATAGGGCGTAGACCAGTCGGTAGACCAAGAACAAGATGGAAAGATAACATCAGAGAAACTCTACAGCATCACAATGTGTCAATGCCCGAAGCAGCCAGAAGAGCACGAAGCAGGACCTTATATCTCACTCGACACTCGAGGTAGTAAAAGAGGGCGTACAGAAGAAGAAGATGATGATGATGATGATGATGAAGTGATCCGCTGACCACTTGCTAGACGGGCTGCCCGTCAAGTAGCCTTGCAAAGTGGTCTACATCAGAGCGGACGTCCATTTGTGTGTGTGCAGGCGTGCGTGTTCAGCAGATAGCATCTATCTTCTGACTGTTTACTGTAGCTCCCTGTAGCTCTGCCGTCTCAACCAGTCTATTGTTTGTAAAGGACTTTTCAGGTTGCCGACATATTTTGCCTGTCTTGTCGTTATATCGTCGGCTCTGTGGCTAAGTCGATGCGAACGCTTCGCCTTCGTAATGCCGGGATGCCAGGTTCGATCCCAGCTGCGGGTAATGCGCCTTGCGTTGGTTTCGACAGTGGTATCAAGAAAGCCGACCGTCCAGTAAGCAATGGCAAACTACTGGATGTAAATTGCCTAGAGAAACCACACAACAGCCAGGGACTGTTAGGGTTGGTTCTGCAACGTCCTGTAAAGGATACGCAACTAACTGTCGTTATATCAGCTACAATCTTTCCATTGCCAGTGCTTTCAGTACCTCCGTAATTAAATACTTTTGTTTGATGAAATATTACCATTCTTTTGTGTGTCCACGTCTTAGTCGTCTTTTTTTTCCCTTTCTGGCTGCGTGTTTATTGTTTGGGTTCATACCTTTACAGCAGGGTTGAGTTTACGTCACATTTGACATTTTTCATTGATGGGTATACTTCAGTCTTCTTCTTCTTTCATTTTCTCCTCCTTCTTCTTTTTCTTCTTCTCCTACTTCCTCTTCCTCGTTTTCTTCTTCTTTCTCTTCCTCTTCTTCTACTTTTTCTTCTCTATCTTCACTCATTATTTATACAATCTGAATTAGGAACTCTTGGCTGTCTGCTAAAGTTAAGGGCGGATCACCAACTTGTAATGTCTCGATTGTGATGTCGTTCTCCGTCTTTGGCTCGCACACTCGCATTTGTTGTATTTAAAATTTTCAGAAATAAAACCAAAGGCTTGTACAAACTAATATATTCATGTTACGCAAACGCTGCATTCATGTACGCTTACACAGGAGTTCACACAATTTCACATGACATACATTTCTCACATGACATACATTTCTCACATGACATACATTTCTCACATGACATCTCATATATAACAGACAAACGTGAGCCGCACGTGCTGGCCACACATCCGCACTGCTGGAGCCAGGACACGCGACCCGAGGACATTTGTTGTGTGGGTGATCTGGCTCTGCCAGCCCCACTACGCGCCTCTGCTTGGTGTCCTTGTCTTCTGGCTGTCTCTTTTACAACGTTTCAGTCCAGGTTTCAACTGCTTGGATACGGCAGGTGTGATGCCCGGACACTTGTCCTGACTTGCGCGATGCTTCTTGTTGCCGACATCTTGTACTAGCCGCCGCAGCAGTTCTCACAAAGATATTCTACTGTTCAGTGTTATAATGGATAAAAAAGGGTTGTTCATCGAATTATCAGAGTATATATTTCTTATATTATGTATTGTGTAGTTAAAAAAATAAAGATGTAATTTACGTTCATCATCACCATCCTGTGGCGTGCTGGTAAGCGTAGGCTGTAAACTCCGGCAAAAAGTTCTGGTTGTTCGTCCACTTCTGGACTACAGTCCTGTTTTAGAACCTGAGTGTTGCGCGCGCATCCGTTTTACAGATCAGACTCATTTGTATGCAGACTGCTGGTTTCTTGCCTATCAGGCAGATGCACTCCGACTTCGAAGAAAGCTCCCAATTAGGCAGTAGGTCTATTCTTGTTTTCCCTATAATAGGGCCCCGGAACTCACTCAAATGATGACAAGAATCACAGATGAGTTGAGTGTTTTTGTCTAGCCCCATCCATCTGGCGAGGCCATCACGTCTTTATCTCTTTGCCTTCCTCTTACTCTCCTTTCAAGAAATGAATCCAGTGAACTGTGACCAACATGAATGGGGAAGCAGAAAAATGTGCACAAAACAAATCGACGTTTTGGCCAGGGCTTTTCTCCCCATAGACTCAACTTTACAACAGTAACAAAGGGGAGAGTACTGCAACCACAAACGGATGGTCACGTGAGAGACTATAAAAAAGTGATGTGGAATGAATAAAATAAAATAAACCAGTGCTCCAAAAGTAGTCATAAAAGTAAAGTGATAGTATATAATTATAGTAGGGGGAAAAAAAGAGTAGTGGAAATTCAAATGTTAATTGTCCATTTCCTATGTTATCAATCCATTCCTTCCCATCATATCTCCATAAATAAACAGAGGGGGAAACCATTTGAGGCCGTTAAATATTGTGAATTAATCAAGTAACAGAAAGTATTGTGAACGGCACTCATAGAAAGAAGTAGAGAGATAGAAGAACAGGTAGACAACATAAAAATCGAAAGCTATAGTTACCGTGCCGGGAATTGAACCTGTCACCTCATCATATATCCACAACATATTGACTGCTAGGTCTAACTCTTTGTATTCTTCTCAGAAACCACATCTTTGCCGTAAGTAAATGTTTGTCAACTTGTCTGCTTTTTGTCTATGTTTCACCTGCATATATTACTGTTTCCAACATTGTGTTGTTTCCATATTTTTTTGGGGTATGATTAAGGTAGCAATTGTACTAAGATTATTTAGATAATCTTACTAACATTGAGTCGGCTCTGTGGCTAAGTCGATGCAAACGCTTCATGCCGGGCTCAATCCCAGGCTCAATCCCAGGCTCAATCCCAGGCTCAATCCCAGGCTCAATCCCAGGCTCAATCCCAGGCTCAATCCCAGCTGCGGTCCCATGCGCCTTGCGTTGGTTTCGACAGTGGTATCAAGAAAGCCGACCGTCCAGAGGCAATGGCAAACTACTGGATGTAAATTTGCCTAGAAAAGCCACATAACATCAAGGGGATGTTGGGGTTGGTTCTGCAACGTTCTGTAAAGGATATGCAACTAACCTACTAACATTGTGTCACTTAATATGTGGGTTTTCTAAGCCCTGACGGTTGGCACACTGTATTCAGGTTATAGCAGTAATTTCTGCCTCTTTCGCTGACACATCCTTTTTCAACTAACTCTTAATTAGTAGCCTATTACGACATTCTTGTTGGGGACTGCAGGTTTATTATTGATTCGTTTTTTTTTTGTTGATTTGCCAAAATGGGGTTCGAACTCACACGAAGACTCACATTATCTGCTGCAACATATACTGGCTGTATATTTACTATCACATATACCTGCTGTCACATATACCTGCCGTCACATATACCTGCCATCACATATACCTGTCATCTCATATACCTACCATCACATATACCTACCGCCGCATATACCTACCGTCACATATACCTACCTTCACATATACCTGCTGTCGCATATACCTACCATCACATATACCTACCTTCACATATACCTACTGTCACATATACCTACCATCACATATACCTACCATCACATATACCTACCCTCGCATATACCTACCATCGCATATACCTACCGTCGTATATACCAGCCGTCACATATACCTACTGTCATGTAAACCTTACAATGACATATACCTACTGTCACATATACCTACCGTCACATATACCTACTGTGACATATACCTACTGTGACATGTACCTACTGTCACATATACCTACCGTCACTTATACCTACTATGACATATACCTACTGTCACATAAATCTACCATCACATATACCTCCTACTGTCACATATACCTACCATCACATATATCTACCGTCACACATACCTACCGTCACACATACCTACCATCACATATACCTACCATCACATATACCTACCGTCACACATACCTACCATCATATATACCTACCATCACATATACCTACCGTCACATATACCTACCATCACATATACCTACCGTCACACATACCTACCATCACACATACCTACCATCACATATACCTACCGTCACACATACCTACCATCACATATACCCACCGTCACATATACCTACCGTCACATATACCTACCGTCACACATACCTACCGTCACATATACCTACCGTCACACATACCTACCGTCACACATACCTACCGTCACATATACCTACCGTCACATATACCTACCGTCACACATACCTACCGTCACACATACCTACCGTCACATATACCTACCGTCTGTCTGCCTGTACAAGAGTGCTTGTGTTCTCTGTTTCAGGCTTCCATTTGTATGACAAGTTGCCGCACATATTCCCTGAGAGTTGTCTTCTGATCACTTTGGGCATCCTTGTGGGTGTTACCCTCTACTTTACGGAGACGGCCAGTAGCCAACAGTACAGCCTTGACGCCAACATCTTCTTCCTATTCCTGTTGCCGCCAATCATCTATGATGCCGGCTACAACATGCCTAACCGCGCCTTCTTCAACAATATGGGCACTATTCTGCTGCTGGCTGTGCTTAACACCTTGTGGAACACCTTTGGCATCGGTGAGTCTCTCTGTGTGAGTTTGTCTGTTTTCTGTCTGTGAATCTGTCTGCTATGCTACCTGTGAGTTTGTCTGGTCTCTCTCTCTGTAAGTCTGTCTGTCTGCTCTCTGTCTGTAAGTCTGTCTGGTTTCTGTGAGTCTTTTTTGCTGTGTATGTCTAGACTGTTTCTATGACTGTATCATTGAGCATGTCCTGTATCATTGAGCATGTCTTGTATCATCGAGTATGTTTTGTATCATTGAGTCTGTCTTGTATCATTAAGCATGTCTTGTATCATTAAGCATGTCTTGTATCATTGAGTCTGTCTTGTATCATTGGGTCTATCTGTCTTGTATCATTGGGTCTGTCTGTCTTGTATCATTGAGCATGTCTTGTATCATTAAGTCTGTTTTGTATCAGTGTCTTTCTTTCATCAGTGAGTCTGTCTTTTGTTATTGAGTCTGTCTTGTACCATTGAGTGTGCCTTTTATCATTGAGTATTTCTTGTGTCACCGAGCCTTTCTGGTATAACAGAGTCAGCTCTTATGATCCAACAGCTTCTGCAGCTTGCTTTGTTCCAATGTAATGAGGTTTCTTTGCTTGTGAGTACACAAGGGATCATGCTGCATATATACAACATGCAGTCACTCTGGGCAGCGCCCAGGCTTTGTACTGTGGAGAAAGAGCTTCATTCTTGACCTTACTTGATCTCAGCAGACCTTGCTGGTGACACATCGCCATCAGCTATGATTCCCATATTTGACTGTGTAGCACAGCAGAACCCTATTGTCATGAACACTTAGCAGGTGTCGACATTCTTTGCTTCACTGGTCCAGTCCCAGACATTTATTTCAGCCCCTTTCTGTCTCGTGGAGTTGAGGCTACAAGTAATTAACTCTTTCAGGACATTTTTCTCTGGGGTTTGGACAGCAATAATTTTGAGCGGAATTGTTTTTACTGCAACACGACAAACCTTCCTGAAGAAAAAGTATTGGCTGTATCGGGACACATAATATATCAAATTAAAGATAAATGAGTGCAGAATAAATGTAAACTATTCAATTGTCAGTATCACAACAAAATATTCTTAAAATCTCACAACATTCAAGGATGCTGGACACATGTGAAGATTATTTACATAAAAAATGTTGTGCCTACCTTACTTTTGTTTACTTGTTTAACAACACTGCTATCCAATTCTAAGGATTCACCTGCCTCCTCTGTTCAATTATGTATCAGCTAGCTTTTCTGGAAACAATTAATTTAAATGTCATGTTGGATCATTTTTGTATGAATGTTAGATTTCGCAACAACCGAAAATCGGGAAAACAGCTGATTGAAACAGATGATCTGATTAAAATATTTTGTTAAATTTTCATTTTCTAAACTAAATTTTCACCAATAGGTTTGTCACTTAGATATAAATCATAAAATCAAGACTATTATCACCATCTGGCAGAGATTAGTCAACGACAGAGCATTATGAACAGTTCTAGACATTTTCCCTTATCATTTAGTATAGAACAATCACATAAAAATTGTATCACTAACAAATAATTTTTACAAAATCATAAAGTGAGGCAAATGCCACGCAGGACATCGCAAACGAAACAACATCGTGTTGTTAATCCTAATGTTTTCGAAAACTTGTTCATAAAAGTTTGTTTTCTTTACAAATGGAACAAAATTGGAGTGTCTCTATGATACACCAGTATACTGGGGGCTGTCCGATAGGGATAACTTCATAAGCCAGTTAACTGGCTATCTGTCTTAAAAGAGTTAATAATGAGGAACAAAGGTGTCTACCTGAGACATTCTAGGACAGAAGTAGTAGCATTGAAAAGTGAGGTACAAAATGGGAATATACATATTTGTCTGTGATAGAAGATAGGAAAATCTGGTTATCTTTGTAGTGACTTAACAAATGTGATGTGTCTGCTGGTACTGAATGAGTAAACTTCTGGACACAGGTCATACACCAGGTATACTAGATGTCCCCATGTAGGTTCCAAGTTCTGTTCTGCTGGAACAATCAGAGTAGACCCACAACCTCCCCTCACAACAGGTGACTGATTAGGTGTATGGTGAAAGAGGATGCTTCAGCCCACAAGATGCAGATATTGCAGTCTCTCTGTAAGCCACTATTTACCGACCACCCTTAATTTGAAGCCAATTGCAGAAGAAAAAAAAGGTAGACAAGAGTCATGTTATGTGTGTGAGAACTGACTGACCTCTGATGTTCTCAGGTGCTGGCCTGTGGACCATGTGCTACCTGGGCTGGATTGACCAGAAGATCAGCATCTTCAACTGCCTGATCTTCAGTGCCCTCATCTCTGCCGTGGACCCTGTTGCTGTGCTGGCCATTTTTGAAGAGATCCAGGTCAATGAGATTCTGTACATCCTGGTCTTTGGGGAATCTTTGCTCAACGATGGAGTCACTGTGGTATGTATGTCACTGTCATGTTGTACACATAATTGTTCTCTGCTGCCATGTATGTAACTATCCTGTGATGTTCTACACATAATTGTTCTCTGCTGCCATGTATGTAACTGTCCTGTCATGTTGTACACATAATTGTTCTCTGCTGCCATGTATGTAACTGTCCTGTCATGTTGTACACATAATTGTTCTCTGCTGCCATGTATGTAACTGTCCTGTCATGTTCTACACATAATTGCTCTCTGCTGCCATGTATGTAACTGTCCTGTTATGTTCTACACATAATTGTTCTTTGATGCCATGTATGTCACTGTCATGTTGTACACATAATTGTTCTCTGCTGCCATGTATGTCACTGTCATGTTGTACACATAATTGTTCTCTGCTGCCATGTATGTAACTGTCCTGTTATGTTCTACACATAATTGTTCTTTGCTGCCATGTATGTAACTATCCTGTGATGTTGTACACATAATTGTTCTCTGCTGCCATGTATGTAACTATCCTGTGATGTTGTACACATAATTGTTCTCTGCTGCCATGTATGTAACTATCCTGTGATGTACACATAATTGTTCTCTGCTGCTATGTAACTTTCTTCTCCTTGTCTGTAAGTAACTGTGCTCTCCTAGTCTGTAAGTAACTCTCCCCTCCTAGTTTATAAGTTACTGTTCACCTGAGCTCCGCCATGTGATGTGCTGGTGTGTCTGCAGGTGCTGTACCGTATGATGGAAGGTTTTGCAGCCATTGGAGAGAACAATGTACAGCTGGTGGACTTTGCTGCTGGCTTTGCCCAGTTCTTCGTCGTCGTCATTGGGGGAACCCTCATTGGGGTCCTGTACGGACTCATGGGAGCTTTCATCACCAAGTACACAGATCACGTGCGGGTCATCGAACCTTTGTTTATATTTGTGCTGGGATACCTGGCTTACCTGACTGCTGAGATCTTGGGAATGTCAAGTATACTAGCGTGAGTTCACAGCCCCCTTGTCTTCCTGCAAATATTTCCTGTCACTCTCAACTCTAAATGTTGATTCTCTAAATAATATTGGCTTTCCTTCTAATTTTGGAGAGCATATTTATGGTCTGATTGAATACAGTCATTTCAAATACTCTGTAGATTCACAACATGCTAACACACAGGCAGTCTCACTTACTAACACACACTTACCAGAAATAATTTGTTGGAAAAAGAAAAGCCGACACACACATGCAGACACACACACATGTACACATATGCAGACACATGCACACATATGCAGACACACACACACATGCACACATATGCCACGACACACACACATACACACACACACATGCAGACACACACACACATGCGCACAAATGCAGTCACACACACATATGCAGACACACACACATGCACATATTTGCAGACATGCACACATATGCAGACACACACACACATGCAGACACACACACATGCGCACATTTGCAGACATGCACACATTTGCAGACACACACACATATGCAGACACACACACACATGCGCCGATGGGCAAGGGAACTGGCCAGTGTAGCTCATAGATGTCTTCACCTGAAATGTGTCTGGGCCCAACACCCCCACCCCAGCAGTACCTTATGGGAACCACATTCTTTTGATATACATACACTGAGTGCTCACAGATGGTGATCTTTGATATTTTATGCTTTAATATTGCCCAACAGTCCTTACCTTTTCCCAACAGTCCTTAACTTTGGGTAACAGACCTTAACTTTGCCTAACAGACCTTCTTACCTTTGCCTAACAGACCTTCTTACTTTTGCCCAACAGTCCTTACCTTTGCCCAACAGTCTTTACCTTTGCCCAACAGTCCTTACCTTTGCCATTTAACCCTGTCACCCCAAAAAGGAATGAAACGAGCACTTCCGATTGTGACCAGTTCCCTGTAAATGTCCCTTCTCTGATTTGTCTGTATCCACCCGTTTATGAGATGTATAGTTAATGCTCTTTGGCTGTGTTCACGCCTATGCAAATGTTTATGAGGTCAACATCTGAATATATAAATAAAAAGTAGCTTGTTGGGAAAGTGGAGTGGGGGGGAGGGGGGGGGGTGTCCTTTAAGCAAAATGCTTTTTAAAAGCCAAGTTGACATTATATTTTCCTGTAAGCCTCAGTGATACAGGTCACTGAGTCACCTAATACATATTTGTTTAGACCCCCGGGCACATGTTTAAGTGAAGGCTTTACTTTGCTCGTGTTCATTGATCACTCACTTACGTATATATATATATATATGGGAGTAATCAATGAACATGAGCAACAATAAACAATAAATAGTTCAGAAATCTACATAAATAAATGTTAACACAAATTTATTAGTGACCTTGTTAAAATTGTCGCTGTTAAAAGATTTTTTCAAGAAATATCATAGGGTCATGACCCAGAAAGTAAGAAAATTGTTTTAGCACTCCTTGGGCAAAAGGGTTACAGTTGCAGAACATGAATCATTTCAGATTGACCTTTGCGGGCATCATCATGAGACAGTACACAGAGGCCAACATGGCCAAGAAGTCCACCACGACGGTCAAGTACTTCATGAAGATGCTGGCCACTATCTCTGAGACGGTCATCTTCATGTTCCTGGGACTGTCCACAGTCATGGACTCGCACGACTTTCACCTGGACTTTATCATGTTTTCCTTGTTGTTCTGCCTCATTTTTAGGGTAACAGGTGAGGACTCTTGTTTGCTGCCCTTGTCTGCTAGACTGCGTGCTTAGTCTCGCCACTGCCCGGGTGAGGAGGGTTCTATACATGGTTACAGAGTTTCTAGTACTGGGAAGGCTAACCCTGTCAACACATGCCTGCAGAAGTCAGATGTGTTGGCCGAAAGGTGTAAATATCGCAGCCATGCTGTAAACATACACAATGCAATTACATTTTCGGCTAAACGCACAAGAAAAAGATTATAGTTTTTGACAAATCTGAAGTCAGACATTTTAAAGAGGAATGCAAAGAATATCAGGGAATGATAGAAAAGCAGACCTCCTGGATAAAAACCCAGAAACTGATTAAAGACATCAGACATAGACAGACAGTGTTTTTAGGACATGTTATTCCTGGGTTGTTTCTGGGGTCTCAGAGAGAGAGAGAGAGAGAATGTTTGTGTGTGTGTGTGTGTGTGTGTGTGTGCATGCGGGTGAGGGGGGGGGGGGAGAGAGACCTAATGCACCCCTAATAAGTATGCTGTAAAATGTGACTAAATAGGGGCATTTCTCTCAAAGTCAGAGTGCATCTGCCTGAGAAGCTAGGAACCAGCAGGAAGATCCTGGTGCATGTTGCACAAGTTCATTCCCATTCAAAAATCCCTCAGCGGTTAACTCTTTGAGTCCCATAGGGTTTAGCATCACAGGCCCACGGGGTAGTAAAAAAAAGTAATAAAAAGTGAACTTGTTGGGTTGTTTAGGTGTTTAGTCTGTGAACTGTTTGGGTTGTTAAAGTGTTTGGTCTGTGAACTGGTTGGGTTGTTTAGGTGTTTGGTCTGTGAACTGGTTAGGTTGTTTAGGTGTTTGGTCTGTGAACTGGTTGGGTTGTTTAGGTGTTTGGTCTGTGAACTGGTTAGGTTGTTTAGGTGTTTGGTCTGTGAACTTGTTGGGTTGTTAAAGTGTTTGGTCTGTGAACTGGTTGGGTTGTTTAAGTGGTTGGTCTGGTTAGGTTGCTTAGGTAGTTGGTCTGTGAACTGGTTGGTTGGTTAGTCTGTTAGCTGGCTGGGTTAGTTATGTGGTTAACTGGTTGGGTTTGTTTCTTGACTGAATGCTTAGATGCTTAGTTTTTTGTTTGGTTGGTGGATTAATTGTGGATAGCTGGATGGATGTTTGGTTAGTTGAATATTTGGTTGGCTGAATGTTTAGTTGGCTTGTCAGTTTGTCATCTACATTAGAAATGATGAACCTAGCTGTGCCATCTCAGTGACACGGCTGTATTTGTCTAACAGGTGTAGTGCTGTTGTCTTTCATCGTGAACCGACGCCGCTTGATTCGTCTGACTGCCATTGATCAGTTTATCATGTCTTATGGAGGTCTGCGAGGCGGCATCGCCTTCTGTCTGGCCTTGCTGTTGAACAAACACCACGTGCCAGAGAAAGCCATGTTTGTCACCACCACTACTGTCATAGTCTTCTTCACTGTCTTCGTTCAGGTACGGTCTCTCTCTCTCTCTCTCTCTCTCTCTCTCTCTCTTGTGTCTTATCTCTCATGTTTGTCACCACCACTACTGTCATTGTATTCTTCAGTCTTTGTTCAGGTACGGTCTCTCTCTCTCTGTCTCTCTCTCTGTCTCTCTCTCTCTTTCTCTCTTTCTCTCTCTCTTGTGTCTTATCTCTCATGTTTGTCACCACCACAGCTGTCATTGTATTCTTCACTGTCTTCGTTCAGGTACGGTCTCTCTCTGTCTCTCTCTCTCTTTGTCTCTTTCTCTCTTTGTCTCTGTCTCTCTTTCTCTGTCTCTCTCTCTTTGTCACCACCACAGCTGTCATTGCCTTCTTCACTGTCTTCTTTCAGATATGATCTTTCTGCCTGATCTCTCTGCCTGATCTTTCTGCCTGATCTCTCTGTCTGATCTCTGTGTGATCTTTCTGCCTGATCTCTCTGCCTGATCTCTCTGTCTGATCTCTCTGTCTGATCTCTCTGTCTGATCTCTCTGTCTGATCTCTCTCTCTGTCTCTGTCTGATCTCTCTGTCTGATCTCTCCGTGATCTCTCTCGTCTGATCTCTCTGTCTGATCTCTGATCTCTCTGTCCTGATCTCTCTGTCTGATCTCTCTGTCTGATCTCTCTGTCTGATCTCTCTGTCTGATCTCTCTGTCTGATCTCTCTCTGATCCTGATCTCTCTGTCTGATCTCTCTGCCTGATCTCTCTGTCTGATCTCTCTGTCTGATCTCTCTGTCTGATCTCTCTGTCTGATCTCTCTGTCTGATCTCTCTGTCTGATCTCTCTGTCTGTTCTCTCTGTCTGATCTCTCTGTCTGTCCTGATCTCTCTGATCTCTCTGTCTGATCTCTCTGTCTGTTCTCTCTGCCTGTTCTCTCTGTCTGATCTCTCTGTCTGATCTCTCTGTCTGTTCTCTCTGCCTGTTCTCTCTGTCTGATCTCTCTGTCTGATCTTTCTGTCTGTTCTCTCTGTCTGTTCTCTCTGCCTGATCTCTCTGTCTGATCTCTCTGTCTGATCTCTCTGTCTGATCTCTCTGTCTGATCTCTCTGTCTGATCTCTCTGTCTGATCTTTCTGTCTGATCTCTCTGTATGATCTTTCTGCCTGATCTCTCTGCCTGATCTCTCTGCCTGATCTCTCTGCCTGATCTCTCTGTCTGATCTCTCTGTCTGATCTCTCTGCCTGATCTCTCTGCCTGATCTCTCTGTCTGATCTCTCTGTCTGATCTCTCTGTCTGATCTCTCTGTCTGATCTCTCAGTCTGATCTCTCTGTCTGATCTCTCTGTCTGATCTCTGTGTCTGATCTCTCTGTCTGATCTCTCTGCATGATCTTTCTGCCTGATCTCTCTGCCTGATCTCTCTGTCTGATCTCTCTGTCTGATCTCTCTGTCTGATCTCTCTGTCTGATCTCTGTGTCTGATCTCTCTGTCTGATCTCTCTGTCTGTTCTCTCTGTCTGATCTCTCTGTCTGATCTCTCTGTCTGATCTCTCTGTCTGATCTCTCTGTCTGTTCTCTCTGCCTGTTCTCTCTGTCTGATCTCTCTGTCTGTTCTCTCTGTCTGTTCTCTCTGCCTGTTCTCTCTGTCTGATCTCTCTGTCTGATCTTTCTGTCTGTTCTCTCTGTCTGTTCTCTCTGCCTGATCTCTCTGTCTGATCTCTCTGTCTGATCTCTCTGTCTGATCTCTCTGTCTGATCTCTCTGTCTGATCTTTCTGTCTGATCTCTCTGTATGATCTTTCTGCCTGATCTCTCTGCCTGATCTCTCTGTCTGATCTCTCTGTCTGATCTCTCTGTCTGATCTCTCTGTCTGATCTCTCTGTCTGATCTCTCTGTCTGATCTCTCTGTCTGATCTCTGTGTCTGATCTCTCTGATCTCTCTGTCTGATCTCTCTGTCTGATCTCTCTGTCTGATCTCTCTGTCTGTTCTCTCTGTCTGATCTCTCTGTCTGATCTCTCTGTCTGATCTCTCTGTCTGATTTCTCTGTCTGATCTCTCTGTCTGTTCTCTCTGCCTGTTCTCTCTGTCTGATCTCTCTGTCTGTTCTCTCTGCCTGTTCTCTCTGTCTGATCTCTCTGTCTGATCTCTCTGTCTGATCTCTCTGTCTGATCTCTCTGTCTGATCTTTTGTCTGTTCTCTCTGTCTGTTCTCTCTTTTGATCTCTGTCTGATCTCTCTGTCTGATCTCTCTGTCTGATCTCTCTGTCTGATCTTTTGTCTGTTTCCGTGTGTAGTGGTGCTTTTTGTGAGCAGTATTTATGTTCTGCCCATGTGTTACCTGAACCCTCATGAGAAGCAAAGAACAGTAACACTGCACCATACCAGAAATGTCATCAATGATGAGTACGGGTAGGTTTGGGCTTGGTATCTCATCCTGTAAATGCAACAGCTACAAAAACCAACCAGCCATGAGGTTTCCACAAAGAGAAACAAGTAATTCTCCTAGAGACTAATGAAAAGGGGAGGGGGGGGGGGATGGGGGCTCTTCAAATAGAAGAATGATAAAAGCCAAAAGTAGTCCCATTCATTGATGCACCTGCTTTCATCTCCAGAATTGGTTGTTCACTTCTGATAATCTGTGTGTTGTTGACATGTTGTGGAATGTTGAGATCTGTGTGTTGTTGACATGTTGTGGGATGTTGAGATCTGTGTGTTGTGTTGTTGACATGTTGTGGGATTTTGAGATCTGTGTGTTGTGTTGTTGACATGTTGTGGAATGTTGAGATCTGTGTGTTGTTGACATGTTGTGGGATGTTGAGATCTGTGTGTTGTTGACATGTTGTGGGATGTTGAGATCTGTGTGTTGTTGACATGTTGTGGAATGTTGAGATCTATGTGTTGTTGACATGTTGTGGGATGTTGAGATCTGTGTGTTGTTGACATGTTGTGGGATGTTGAGATCTGTATGTTGTTGACATGTTGTGGGATGTTGAGATCTGTGTGTTGTTGACATGTTGTGGAATGTTGAGATCTATGTGTTGTTGACATGTTGTGGAATGTTGAGATCTGTGTGTTGTTGACATGTTGTGGAATGTTGAGATCTGTGTGTTATTGACATGTTGTGGGATGTTGAGATCTGTATGTTGTTGACATGTTGTGGGATGTTGAGATCTGTGTGTTGTGTTGTTGACATGGTGTGGGATGTTGAGATCTGTGTGTTGTGTTGTTGACATGTTGTGGAATGTTGAGATCTGTGTTGTTGACATGTGTGGGATGTTGAGATCTGTGTGTTGTTGACATGTTGTGGGATGTTGAGATCTGTGTGTTGTTGACATGTTGTGGGATGTTCAGATCTGTGTGTTGTTGACATGTTGTGGGATGTTGAGATTTGTGTGTTGTGTTGTTGACATGTTGTGGGATGTTGAGATCTGTGTGTTGTTGACATGTTGTGGGATGTTGAGATCTGTGTGTTGTTGACATGTTGTGGGATGTTCAGATCTGTGTGTTGTTGACATGTTGTGGGATGTTGAGATTTGTGTGTTGTGTTGTTGACATGTTGTGGGATGTTGAGATCTGTGTGTTGTTGACATGTTGTGGGATGTTGAGATCTGTGTGTTGTTGGCATGTTGTGGAATGTTGAGATCTGTGTGTTGTTGACATGGTGTGGGATGTTGAGATCTGTGTGTTGTTGACATGTTGTGGGATGTTGAGATCTGTGTGTTGTGTTGTTGACATGTTGTGGGATGTTGAGATCTGTGGACTAGAGCTGTGAGCTTCACATGACAGTTGCTAGCTAGAGTCTGATATGTACTTGTCTCAGATGATCTTGTAACTAGCCAGTCAGTGAATGACTGTGGTGTGTGTGTGTGTGCATCAAGTTTGTTGACAATTGCTAGTTAGCCCCTGACATGTCTCAGATGATCTTGTAACTAGGCAGTCAGTGAATGACTGTGGTGTGTGCACGTGTCAGGTTTGTTGTGGAAGTCAGCTGATACAGCAGCATGTCCTTTCTCCAACAGGGGATCACCATCAAGCCTGTAGTGAATGCCCTGAAGGTGGAGCGAGCGGAAGAGAAAGATCCCTCGATGAGTGAGATGATCCACAAGCGGGTGAGTTGTGCAGACCACAGACATGTCTGGTCCTGGACTCTTTATGACCTGTCTGTTACCATCGTGGGAGCTTTCAGCTGGGCTTTTCTCCTTGGTTTTCATCTCATGGTTACATAATGAACAAGTGAAAAAGTCTGAATGAAGTGATGATAGAATTCAAGAGACAATAAATCTGGTGGTCATATTGAAATGCATCATGCTAGGATATTACAATGGCCATATCGAAGCAATGAATCTGAAGGGCTCAGAATGTTGAAGAAAAAGGACAAAGACGAAGATACAGAAAAAGAAGAAGATGCAGAAGAAGAAGAAGAATGTATGTACTGGCTAAGATTTCACCCAGGTTGGTCATGTGGTCTCCATAGGTTGAAGTATTCCAGTGATGAGAGGCAGAGAGTGTTGGGGAAAATCACAGCCAACCATTATTGTGGAGACTGCACTTGATTGATACAAAGTCATGGAAAGAGATTGGTTACATTGGACAAGAGGGCTGATGACCATGGTTGTCGGTATCATTGTTGCTACAGGTGTTGTGTAGCACACTTCCACTAAACTGTAGTTCAGATGTTTAGTGAAGGGCAGCAAGGAGAACAACACACACAAGAACAATCAGATGTTTAGTGAAGGGCAGCAAGGAGAACAACACACACAAGAACAATCAGATGTTTAGTGAAGGGCAGCAAGGAGAACAACACACACAAGAACAATCAGATGTTTAGTGAAGGGCAGCAAGGAGAACAACACACACATGAACAATCAGATGTTTAGTGAAGGGCAGCAAGGAGAACAACACACACAAGAACAGTCAGATGTTTAGTGAAGGGCAGCAAGGAGAACAACACACACACGAACAATCAGATGTTTAGTGAAGGGCAGCAAGGAGAACAACGCACACATGAACAATCAGATGTTTAGTGAAGGGCAGCAAGGAGAACAACACACACAAGAACATTCAGATGTTTAGTGAAGGACAGCAAGGAGAACAACACACACAAGAACAATCAGATGTTTAGTGAAGGGCAGCAAGGAGAACAACACACACAAGAACAATCAGATGTTTAGTGAAGGGCAGCAAGGAGAACAACACACACAAGAACAATCAGATGTTTAGTGAAGGGCAGCAAGGAGAACAACACACACATGAACAATCAGATGTCTAGTGAAGGGCAGCAAGGAGAACAACACACACATGAACAGTCAGATGTTTAGTGAAGGGCAGCAAGGAGAACAACACACACAAGAACATTCAGATGTTTAGTGAAGGGCAGCAAGGAGAATAACACACACAAGAACAATCAGATGTTTAGTGAAGGGCAGCAAGGGAATGCAGAGACTGGCCAGCAGGTGCCACAGAGGTGGAAATTCAGCAATTAATTCAAGATAATGCTCGCTCAGAGGATTTGATCATTTACACAGAGGGTTCAGTGTCAAGAGGCAAAAGAAGTGCTTGGGGCTTCTTGGCAAAAATTAATGGTCGACGTTTGGTGCAGGAGAGCCTAGCATATGATACCACAAAATCCAGCTTAAGAATGGAGGTGGAGGTGGTCACTGCAGCTCTCCGCTGGCTAGAGAACACGACACACACACACACATATCGTGATTGTAACTGATTCAGAAAGCATGCTGAGGAAGATCAGGACAGGTATGCTTCGTGCAGAGTGACATGCTTCGCTACGGAGGACACGGGTGAAGAGTATTGTCTGGATTTTTTCACCGGGGCACGCCAGTATGTTGGGAAATGATCATCAGACTGGCTGGCTCTGCACAACTTGGTGGAATACTGATATATGGTAAGGCAGACGTGATTAGTGCCTTGTCTGGTGAGATTGATGCAGTTGGGGGTGACGAGAGGTTCTGGCAGATGCTCGAGGCTCAGAGGAAAGGCAAGACGGACGTTTAATCAGAATGTATTAATTAGTATCGGATCTCTCCGCTGGCTGCTGAAGATGGGGACGGAGCACTTATGGGAATGCCCCAAGTGCTGTGATGTCAGTTCTTGAATCAAATCAATCAAATCAATCAGCAAGGAGAACAACACACACAAGAACAATCAGATGTTTCAGCAGCAGCATTTGTCAACAAAACCACAAGAACATGGGGGGGGGGGTGTCTCTTAGCCACCAGTCCCTACATAGGGAGGGGGGGGGGGAGTTAATGCGGAACGAATCAAATAAATGAAGAAGCAAAAACAGTATTAATAATAGTAATAGTAACAGTAATAATAAAATTAGAGTAATGATCAAAGAAATAATAGTAACAATAACATCAGCGGTAATAAGAGTAGTAATAAGAATAAAATCACTCATAGTAAATGAATAATATGCGTAACAGATATAATAAAACAAATGTAAAAATAAAAATATTGTTTCTATGCAAGTATGCTGAACATTGAGAGCTCCTGGGCCCAGAGCATGTAAACTGTTAATAAGAAGATAGTCCAAAGAGAAAGCTGTAGTTTGATCACCAGAGCAGGATTTTATGGCAGTGACAGAGATATTGTCTTCACCACTCTAGTCAGAACTGTTGAAGTGGAGAGAAACTGATTTGAGTGCCTCCTCTTGAATATCCTAGAGATGTAGTATAGAAGTCAAGGGCCCTTTTGAGGCCATTAGCAAATCTGTTTTTTTTACAATCAATAACTCTTTGAGTTCCTATGTAGAAACCCAATGAACGCATGATATGTCGATTTTACTCTAACTTTACTACCCATTGGGCCTGTGATGCTAAACCCCCTGGGACTCAAAGAGTTAAACACTAAGTGAAGGATGTGCCCCAGCATCATGCAGGCCACCTTTATTTCCCGGGACATTACCTATTACCCGGGGTCAATATGAGATCCAAGCACAGTATTCAACAACATGTTGTATGGATTTAAATAACAGCTCTTTAGGCCAGAAGGCCAGCTACTGTGTTACCACATCCATTTGAGTTGTCACTGGTTAAAAAAAAAAAAAAGAAGATTATATTTACTGTATTTGTCCATATGTAAGAGGGTACGTTTTTCCAAATTTGTTGAGTGTAAAATTCTGAGTCGTCTTATACACTGAATGTGTTGATTTATTTCTCAATTTTGGGTTAAAAAACTAGTTGTCACCTTATACATGGGGGCGTCTTATACACCAACAAAATATGGCAAGTGTGAACATTTCTCTGATGTAAGCACCAATCAGTAGCTATCACTTAATTTGTCATTTGATGTTTTCATATTTATCTGATATGTTCAGATTTGTGAAGTGATCCTAAATTGTTTGTTTCTGCAGTTCATTGATCATTTGATGGCTGGAGTGGAGGATATTGTTGGCAAGAATGGTCACAACTCCTTCCAACACAAGTATGTATCAGACATGTCATCTACCAGATCTCTTATATATAATATCAGTTTTGTTTTACATAAAACATGTTACCTGTGAGATGTAGGATTGTTTTCTTTGGAAAACAATCAACTTCAGTATGGAACAGCTTTTTATGGTAAGACAAGTAGTGCAGTCACTTGAGCCAGAATTGATGGCTGTGATAGCAGTGTGCACATAACTTTGTTGCCAGAGCTGTTGAAGTGAGGAGAGGCCAGTCTGAAAAGAGGAACTTTGTGTCAGCTTCATTGATGCATGTCATGGGACATCTTGAGCTCATATGGTAGGTACATTGGAAGGCAGTTAGCTATAGGGCTTGTGAGTTGAGATTTTCCAGCAGTTGAGCAAAGCTAGAAGAATAAACCTCCTACTCTCCCTCATTTATTTATCCTTTGATGTAATATAGTTTTGTTTATGGTTGAGCGAGCATCACCTCCGCTAGATCAGCATTCCTTAATCTTTTCCTTCTGGGTTTTTTGTGTGTCCCACTGGTGGGTTGCTGTGCATGGGTTGAAGAACTTCTAGTTACTTTCTGATGGAGTCATGCTGAAATGAATGTTTCTCTTTCACTGAACACAGCTTCCAGCATGTAACATACACACAGCCATGTAAGACTTGGCACAAGCCACATGATGTAATCACTCATTGTTGCTGTTGTAAGCTGTTAGAATGTCTTACAGGCAAGCATGTCCAGGTTCCTGTTGTAAGCTGTTAGCCAGTCTTACAGGCAAGCATGTCCAGGTTCCTGATGTAAGCTGTTAGCTAGTCTTACAGGCAAGCATGTCCAGGTTCCTGTTGTAAGCTGTTAGCTAGTCTTACAGGCAAGCATGTCCAGGTTCCTGTTGTAAGCTGTTAGCCAGTCTTATAGGCAAGCATGTCCAGGTTCCTGTTGTAAGCTGTTAGCTAGTCTTACAGGCAAGCATGTCCAGGTTCCTGTTGTAAGCTGTTAGCTAGTCTTACAGGCAAGCATGTCCAGGTTCCTGTTGTAAGCTGCTAGCCAGTCTTACAGGCAAGCATGTCCAGGTTCCTGTTGTAAGCTGTTAGCTAGTCTTACAGGCAAACATGTCCAGGTTCCTGTTGTAAGCTGTTAGCTAGTCTTACAGGCAAACATGTCCAGGTTCCTGTTGTAAGCTGTTAGCCAGTCTTACAGGCAAGCATGTAGAGGTTCCTGTTGTAAGCTGTTAGCTAGTCTTACAGGCAAGCATGTCCAGGTTCTTGTTGTAAGCTGTTAGCCAGTCGTCCAGGCAAGCATGTCCAGGTTCCTGTTGTTAGCTGTTAGCCAGTCTTACAGGCAAGCATGTCCAGGTTCCTGATGTAAGCTGTTAGCCAGTCTTACAGGCAAGCATGTCCAGGTTCCTGTTGTTAGCTGTTAGCCAGTCTTACAGGCAAGCATGTCCAGGTTCCTGTTGTTAGCTGTTAGCCAGTCTTACAGGCAAGCATGTCCAGGTTCTTGTTGTAAGCTGTTAGCCAGTCTTACAGGCAAGCATGTCCAGGTTCCTGATGTAAGCTGTTAGCCAGTCTTACAGGTAAGCATGTCCAGGTTCCTGTTGTAAGCTGTTAGCCAGTCTTATAGGCAAGCATGTCCAGGTTCCTGTTGTAAGCTGTTAGCTAGTCTTACAGGCAAGCATGTCCAGGTTCCTGTTGTAAGCTGTTACCCAGTCTTACAGGCAAGCATGTAGAGGTTCCTGTTGTAAGCTGTTAGCCAGTCTTACAGGCAAGCATGTCCAGGTTCCTGATGTAAGCTGTTAGCCAGTCTTACAGGCAAGCATGTAGAGGTTCCTGTTGTAAGCTGTTAGCCAGTCTTACAGGCAAGCATGTAGAGGTTCCTGTTGTAAGCTGTTAGCCAGTCTTACAGGCAAGCATGTCCAGGTTCTTGTTGTAAGCTGTTAGCCAGTCTTACAGGCAAGCATGTCCAGGTTCTTGTTGTAAGCTGTTAGCCAGTCTTACAGGCAAGCATGTCCAGGTTCCTGATGTAAGCTGTTAGCCAGTCTTACAGGCAAGCATGTCCAGGTTCCTGATGTAAGCTGTTAGCCAGTCTTACAGGCAAGCATGTCCGGGTTCCTGTTGTAAGCTGTTAGCCAGTCTTACAGGTAAGCATGTCCAGGTTCCTGTTGTAAGCTGTTAGCCAGTCTTACAGGTAAGCATGTCCGGGTTCCTGTTGTAAGCTGTTAGCCAGTCTTACAGGCAAGCATGTCCAGGTTCCTGATTACAGACCAAATGTTGACAGTTGTCCACATTTCTCCCCGCAGGTTTGACTACTACAACACGAAGTACCTGAAGCCCCTGCTGCTGCGAGAGAAACCCAAGAGCCGTAACCCTTCCATTGTGCGCACCTTCACCAAACTGAGCATGCAGGATGCCAAGGCTGCTGTGATGTTTTCTCAGGGGATGAACCGGGACCGCTCCTTCTCTCAGATCCTCTCCTGCAGCCCTTCCACTGCCAACTTGTTCAGGTGAGTTATTAGGGGCCTCAACCTGCTAGTTAGCTCCTACACAAGAACTTCACATGTGTCTCCTTGTGGCTGCTCAGCAAGGTAACTGACTATAGGAACACTGTAACCTGCCATGCATGACATCAGAGGCCACTATGGAGGGTTGGTTTGAAACTGGTTACCTCATCCGTCACAGAAAACTTGCTATAAAATACAGCTAATCATAAATAAATTTACAATGGACTTGGTGTGAGTTGATTTAGGCCTGTGTTGCTATGGGACAGGACAGAAAGAAGATGCAACAACTTCTATAAATATATATAAGGACCCTCGTATCTGCACTGACCATAAAGTGGTAAATTCACAAATACCATCGATCAGGAGTGAAATTTACAATATCTCAAAATCAAAGGTGAAATTTTGTTATGTACTACACACAAATGTTTGTGGCTTAGGCATTGCCCACTCTGTTCGTAATGCCATGGTGCTGGGTTTGATCCCATCTGTGGGCCTTGCGCCTTGCTTTGGTTTCGACAAAGGTATTGAGAAGTCGACTGTCCAGAAAATAATGGCTAACTACTGGACGTAAACTTGCCTAGAAAAACCACAACAGTAAAAAAATGCTGGGGTTGGTTCTGCAATGTCCTGTAAAGGATACGCAAGCTAACTTAAATACTACACACACATCCCAACCTACACACACACACATGCACACATATCCCAACCAACACACACATGCCAAACCACACACACACATGTAAGCATACATGCACACACACGTACATACACACATCCCAACCATCACACACACACACACATCCCAACTTACACACACACACATCCCAACCATCACACACATGCACACATGCATGCACTCCTGCACAGGAAACACTATGTGTGCCAGCCCACATACATGAATATCCTAGACATCTGGGCCACTACCTGAAGGTTTGATCACTCGTTGGAACCACAAAAACCTCACTCTGGATGGTAACCCAACAGGGTAGATCACAGGTACCTTATTCAGAATTCAAAGAAGTTACAACGTAGACACTCTTAATGATTGCCTCCAGTAGTAGCTTGGGAACCCTGTGGGTAAGGATATCTCCTAGAGCGAGTAGTTAGTGGTCGTGGAGGTTTCAACTTTACTGCTCCTCCAAAACCAGCTTGTGAACCCTGTGGGTAAGGATATCTCCTTGAGTGAGTAGTTAGTGGTCGTGGAGGTTTCAACTTTACTGCAAACAGGTCACCCCATAATTGCTGCATTGCTGTGCAAATGATACACATGTAATAAACGCATAAGGCAGTGCTAGAGATGCCAACTCCCTGTGTGGGTTGCAGGAGCTTCTACTGGAGAGGCCAGGAACCAGCAGTTTGTGGACAAATAAGCCAGATCTGTAAAATAGATTTGCTTGCAAATCTCATTAGTGGAGAAACAATTAGTCCCGTCATAATCCAGAAGGATGCACATGTATTAAACGCATAAGGCAGTGCTAAAGATGCCAACTCCCTGTTTGGAGAGGCCAGGAACCAGCAGTTTGTGTACAAATAAGCCAGATCTGTAAAATAGATTTGCTTGCAAAACTCAAGTTCAGGAGCAAGATCAAAGAGATGAAGTTCACCAGAACTTTCTGCCAGAGTTACATCTGACAAATGATAAGAAGAAGAAGAAGAAGAAGAAGAAGGTGATGTGAACACCAACATTTGCTAACAGAATTGCAATTTCACATTGATGGAAGTAAGTAGTCAGTCATGAAAATGCACACTAATAAAATTATTTCTATAAATAAACAGAGGGGGAACCTTTGAGGCCGTTCAATATTATGAATTAATCAAGTAACAGAAAGTGTATTGATAGGCACTCATAGAAAGAAGTAGAAAGATAGAAGAACACACTAGACAACATAAAAATCGAAAGCTATAGTTACCGTGCCGGCAATTGAACCTGTCACCTCCAGACGGCGTCTGCGCCTCGCCATGAATACAAGTGCACTAAGAACATGGTCAGCTAGGCACATCCAAAAAAAAACTACTTCTTTCTATGAGTGCCTATCAATACACTTTCTGATACTTGATTAATTCATAATAAAATTATTGCGTCAGACATTTCGCCAGCCAAAACACAAACCCTATAGAAGTCATGCAGCTTTGTTTATCAATATGGCTGTGATGAATATTTGTAGCACTTAGATGACCAAGTTGTTATTCATTCTGAAAGTGAGTTGACCATTTTTCTGCTGGCTCTTTCTCCTCCCCGCACCCCACCACCCACACGCTGACGACTGACTGCTCGGCTACAGAAGGGCAACTATTTCTGTCCCATCTGCCAGAGACAGGGAAACTGTGGTTAATCTCAGCACTTCAGGTCCCATGCTGACGAAATCCATAGGGGAAGACGTGACTCTGCGGGGCATCTTACATGACTCTCTCTTTGACTCCAGGAGCACTGTAAGTCTGCCAGTTGTTAATTTCCTTCTCCTAAAAATTTTTTTCGTTGCGTTTCTTCCTTAAGCCTCTGTTACTCATTTTCTCCCTTGTGCATTGCTTTAATTCTCTCCCGTAATTGTCTGGCATTCTTCTGTCATTCTCTCTTTTACATAGTCTGTCATTCTCTCTTTTACATAGTCTGTCATTCTCTCTTTTACATAGTCTGTCATTCTCTCTTTTACATAGTCTGTCATTCTCTCTTTTACATAGTCTGTCATTCTCTCTTTTATATAGTCTGTCATTCTCTCTTTTACATTGTCTGTCATTCTCTCTTTTACATAGTCTGTCATTCTCTCTTTTACATAGTCTGTCATTCTCTCTTTTACATAGTCTGTCATTCTCTCTTTTACATTGTCTGTCATTCTCTCTTTTACATTGTCTGTCATTCTCTCACCTACAGAGTCTGTCATTCTCTCTTTTACATAGTCTGTCATTCTCTCTTTTACATAGTCTGTCATTCTCTCTTTTACATAGTCTGTCATTCTCTCTTTTACATAGTCTGTCATTCTCTCTTTTACATAGTCTGTCATTCTCTCTTTTACATAGTCTGTCATTCTCTCTTTTACATAGTCTGTCATTCTCTCTTTTACATAGTCTGTCATTCTCTCTTTTACATAGTCTGTCTCTTTTATAGTCTGTCATTTCTCTCTTTTACATAGTCTGTCATTCTCTCTTTTACATAGTCTGTCATTCTCTCTTTTACATAGTCTGTCATTCTCTCTTTTACATAGTCTGTCATTCTCTCTTTTACATAGTCTGTCATTCTCTCTTTTACATAGTCTGTCATTCTCTCTTTTACATAGTCTGTCATTCTCTCTTTTACATAGTCTGTCATTCTCTCTTTTACATAGTCTGTCATTCTCTCTTTTACATAGTCTGTCATTCTCTCTTTTACATTCATTCTCTCTGTCATTCTCTCTTTTACATAGTCTGTCATTCTCTCTTTTACATAGTCTGTCATTCTCTCTTTTATATAGTCTGTCATTCTCTCTTTTACATAGTCTGTCATTCTCTCTTTTACATAGTCTGTCATTCTCTCTTTTACATAGTCTGTCATTCTCTCTTTTACATTGTCTGTCATTCTCTCTTTTACATTGTCTGTCATTCTCTCTTTTACATTGTCTGTCATTCTCTCTTTTACATAGTCTGTCATTCTCTCTTTTACATAGTCTGTCATTCTCTCTTTACAAGTCTGTCTTTTACATAGTCTGTCATTCTCTATTTATAAAGTCTGTCATTCTCTCTTTTACATTGTCTGTCATTCTCTCTTTTACTCTCTTTTACATAGTCTGTCATTCTCTCTTTTACATAGTCTGTCATTCTCTCTTTTACATTGTCTGTCATTCTCTCTTTTACATTGTCTGTCATTCTCTCTTTTACATTGTCTGTCATTCTCTCACCTACATAGTCTGTCATTCTCTCTTGTACATTGTCTGTCCTTCTCTCACGTTACATTGTCTGTCATTTTCTCTTTTACATTGTCTGTCATTCTCTCACCTACATAGTAATTTTTTCTTCTATATTGTTTCACATTCTCTCACGTACATTGTCTGTCATTTTCTCTTTTACATTGTCTGTCATTCTCTCACCTACATAGTAATTTTTTCTTCTATATTGTTTCACATTCTCTCACGTACATTGTCTGTCATTTTCTCTTGTACTTTATTATTCACTCCCTTTGCTGTTGTCTTTTTTTAATGAGAGTCTGTCTCACTCTTTTTGCCGTTTCTTGTCTTTCTCTTTTATGAGTGTCTTTCACTCTCCCTTCTGTCACCATTCTATTGAGCACATTGTCATCAATTTAATCTCATTGGTTTGATTCTGCGAGAAAACTTGATCAGTCTTGTTGCAATTACTGCCTAGTAATGGCAGTCGGACCTTCATCCTCAGCTGCACAGGAGCTGATCCAGCTGATGCAGCCGTTGCACATGCCCCAGTTCTAACTTCCATGGAGGTTGACTGGGGTGTCTCACTGACTCACTGTCAGCTATACAGGCGCTTGAGTCCAAACCTACCGACAGCACACTACAAAGTCTAACAAAGGAACTTGCTATGTTGTCCAAAAAGGCAGAAATTCACTTGCAGTGGATTCCATCTCACTGGGGCATCAAAAGCAATGAAAGAGCTGATGCTTTAGCCAAGGAAGGCTGTAACAAACCACAGACCTACCAGCCACTATCTTTTCCAGAAGTCAAAACTCTCATTAAGAGAAAATCAGAAAACAGGTTGAAAAACCAACACTTTTTATAACTACGAAAAAGATTTTCTGAAACGCTTGAACAGAACAGACCAAGTCACAGTTTTTCGCTTGCGTAGTGGACACTGCAGACTCAATAAACACTCACATAAATTAGGTATGAGCCAAACAGCTCTCTGCCGGTGCCTTCGTGCTGAACAGACTCCAGAACATGTCCTGCAAGACTGTCCTCTCCTGGCGGAGCTGCGGAGCAACATATGGCAACGCCCAGTAGAACTGACAACTAAGCTTTGGGGAAACCTAAGAGACCTTGAAAAGACATCCCAGTTTATGAACCACAGTGGATTAAGCGCATGACCAGAGATCGCTGAAGAAGAAGACTGGGGTGTCTGGGATTGCTCTCTTAGACTGCCATCTTAACTCAGTTTTGGTGATCTTAGGTTGTCAAACATTCAGCCAACGGCCCTGAGGGGACAGATGGAAGGACAGAATGCAGGCAAACAGTAGTTTCTTATCAACTTTACTGTGTCCAGAAGATCGGTTTTATTTCAGTGCCAGGGCCTGCAGGTGTACAGGGAAATTAGCAAGCTGATAGGCTTGCAGGTAAGGCTGCTGGGGGGGGGGGGGGGGGGGCAGATGAGCAGTGGACCAGGCTGATATACTGAATGCTCTACGAGAAGTAAGACATTTGCAAGTACCAAGTGACGACTATGAACCTGCAGCCGCAGTCAGATCTGCAAGAACAACAAGTTGAACTGGGTGTTTTTGACAAGAGCAACATAAGGAAGTCAAAGAAGAAGAAAAAAACCAAATGAAACTGGTGTTACCAGCAGCTACACACCGCAGGATTTACTGAGAAGGGGATCCACGCACTTATGTACTGAATGGTTTGACCTGGATTAAAAAAAGATCTGTTGAATAACTAATATTATCACCTGTAGTTGATATAAGCAACATTTGATTATTTACCTACCTGTAAAACTGTTATGTGTGTGTTTCAGTGGGTGCGACAACGAAGCCACACTGTAGCACAGGTCCACACACCATCCCACCTGCACCAGTCAGATAGTCAGCAGCTCAAACAAATGTTTGGTCACAAGACATCCTTGACCAGAGCCAGCCTAACCAAGGATGGCCTGTTGCAGAATGGAAGCACTGTCCCTGGCCTTGGTGACTGCAAGATTTCCAAGACTGTCAGTTTCTGTGGTGAGCAGACGCCAGCCTCACCCACACACGGCCATGTTGCAGAGGAGGTCTTCGGTGAGTGCATGGAGGAGGGGAGGCTATAGGAGTTATGTCTGTCCACCTGACACTATGTCTGCCTACAGCAGGTCTGTCTACAATAGACTAACTTTACTATATATCTGTCTACAATAGACTAACTGCTATATCTGTATACAGTAGAATAACTTTGCTATATCTGTCTACAATACATTAACTGTGCTATATCTGTCTACAGTATGTCTGACTTTGCAATATCTGTCTACAGTAAACTAACTTTGCTATATCTGTCTACAGTAGGTTGACTTTGCTATATCTGTCTACAGTAGACTAACTTTGCTATATCTGTCTACAGTAGACAAACTTTACTATATATGTCTACAGTAGGTTGACTTTGCTATATCTGTCTACAGAAGGTTGTCTTTGCCAAATCTGTCTGCAGTAGACTAACTTTGCTATTTCTGTCTACAGTAGACTAACTTTGCTATATCTGTCTACAGAAGGTTGTCTTTGCTAAATCTGTCTGCAGTAGACTAACTTTGCTAAATCTGCCTACAGTAGACTAACATTACTATATCTGTCTACAGTACACTAACATTACTATATCTGTCTACAGTACACTAACTTTGCTATATCTGTCTACAGTACACTAACTTTGCTATATCTGTCTACAGTACACTAACTTTGCTATATCTGGCTACAGTACACTAACTTTGCTATATCTGTCTACAGTACACTAACTTTGCTATATCTGGCTACAGTACACTAACTTTGCTATATCTGTCTACAGTACACTAACTTTACTAGGCCTGTCTACAATAGACTAACTTTACTAGGCATGTCTACAATAGACTAACTTTATTATGTCTGTCTACAGTAGACTAACTTTGCTATATCTGTCTACAGTAGACTAACTTTACTATATATGTCTACAGTAGGTTGACTTTGCTATATCTGTCTACAGAAGGTTGTCTTTGCAAAATCTGTCTGCAGTAGACTAACTTTGCTATATCTGTCTACAGTAGACTAACTTTGCTATATCTGTCTGCAGTAGACTAACTTTGCTATATCTGTCTACAGTAGGTTGACTTTGCTATATCTGTCTACAGAAGATTGTCTTTGCGAAATCTGTCTGCAGTAGACTAACTTTGCTATATCTGTCTACAGTAGACTAACTTTGCTATATCTGTCTACAGTAGACTAACTTTGCTATATCTGTCTAAAGTAGACTAACTTTACTATGTATGTCTACAGTAGGTTGACTTTGCTATATCTGTCTACAGAAGGTTGTCTTTGCCAAATCTGTCTGCAGTAGACTAACTTTGCATATCTATCTACAGTAGACTAACTTTGCTATATCTGCCTACAGAAGACTAACATTACTATATCTGTCTACAGTACACTAACATTACTATATCTGTCTACAGTACACTAACTTTGCTATATCTGTCTACAGTACACTAACTTTGCTATATCTGTCTACAGTACACTAACTTTGCTATATCTGTCTACAGTAGACTAACTTTGCTATATCTGTCTACAGTACACTAACTTTACTAGGCCTGTCTACAATAGACTAACTTTACTAGGCCTGTCTACAATAGACTAACTTTATTATGTCTGTCTTCAGTAGACTAGCTTTCTTATGTCTGTCTGCAATTGACTAACTTTACTAGGTCTGTCTACAATAGACTAACTTTACTAGGTCTGTCTGCAGTAGACTAGCTCACGGCCTTCTCTATTTATAGGCCAATCAGGTCAACAGGGATTCCCGTTTTTGTGCAAGAATGGAGTCCCTCTGCATTCAGTTTTTATCGAGGAGATGTATACACAAATTAAACTACAGTTTAATTAATTTTTGACATATTTTATAGAACTATACATCATTTTTAAGGTAAATAAGTGTGCTATTTGAATATAACAATAAAGGCTCTTACAGACAAACAAAAATGCTTTTGCTACAGTCAACATGAACATAAACATCAATAATGTTTGGATATAAACTGAAAGTTATTCCAGCAAAAGTAAAGAAATATCAGTGCTAACTCTTTGATTCTGAGAGGGTATTGGAGCTTGGTTGTTACATCTGTAGTAACTAAATATTTCATTGATAGCATGGTATATATAATTTATATTGTTGTAAATCATGGACAGTAAGCAGAGAAACAAATGAGACAGCACCGTCATGCAATCAGAGTTCTTCAGTGATCTTTAGGATGCCAGTTTTTGTTGTTTCCATGACATAAGATCGATATGTTTTTTTTTATATTTTCAGCCCAAGAGAGCTCCTGTCACCCGGAGAACAGGGAACCTTCACAGCTTGTGCTAAACTTGGGCATGCCTGCTCCATCTGTCCGTCCAAACACGGGTATGTCACAGCCATCTTTGCAGTGTACACATTTCTTATCTGTGTGTCCAAACACGGGTATGTCACAGCCATCTTTGCAGTGTGCACATTTATTATCTGTGTGTCCAAACATAGGTATGTCACAGCCATCTTTGAAGTGTGCACATTTATTATCTGTGTGTCCAAACATAGGTATGTCACAGCCATCTTTGCAGTGTGCACATTTATTATCTGTGTGTCCAAACATGGGTATGTCACAGCCATCTTTGAAGTGTGCACATTTATTATCTGTGTGTCCAAACACGGGTATGTCACAGCCATCTTTGCAGTGTGCACATTTATTATCTGTGTGTCCAAACATGGGTATGTCACAGCCATCTTTGCAGTGTGCACATTTATTATCTGTGTGTCCAAACACGGGTATGTCACAGCCATCTTTGCAGTGTACACATTTATTATCTGTGTGTCCAAACACGGGTGTGTCACAGCCATCTTTGCAGTGTACACATTTCTTATCTGTGTCCACATAGAATACTCTTGTCTATTTAAACATGCAGTCTTATTTATCTGTGTGGACATGCAGTCTTTATCTGTGTGGATACAAAATATTATCTGTGTAGGTATAAGACAGTCTTATCTGTGTGGACATGCAGTCTTTATCTGTGTGGATACAAAATATTATCTGTGTAGATATAAGACAGTCTAATCTGTGTGGACATAAAAGAGTCTTATATGTGTAGACATACAACAGTCTTATCAAATTTTGATTTATTAGGCATTATGGAGCAAACGAATTAAAGTAATGGATTGTTGGAGGGATGGGTTACACTTACACCTGCATGCTAGTATTGTTACAAACCTAAATCTCCTGTGTTAGTATTGTTACAAACCTAAATCTCCCATGTTAGTATTGTTACAAACCTAAATCTCCCATGTTAATATTGTTACAAACCTAAATCTCCCATGTTAGTATTGTTACAAACCTAAATCTCCCATGTTAGTATTGTTACAAACCTAATTCTCCCATGTTATTATTGTTACAAATCTAAATCTCCCATTTTAGTATTGTTACAAATCTAAATCTCCCATGTTAGTATTGTTATAAACCTAAATCTCCCATGTTAGTATTGTTACAAATCTAAATCTCCCATGTTAGTATTGTTACAAACCTAAAACTCACATGTTAGAATTGTTATAAACCTAAATCTCCCATGTTAGTATTGTTAGAAACCTAAATCTCCCATGTTAGTATTGTTACAAATCTAAATCTCCCATGTTAGTATTGTTACAAACCTAAAACTCACATGTTAGAATTGTTATAAACCTAAATCTCCCATGTTAGTATTGTTAGAAACCTAAATCTCCCATGTTAGTAGTGTTACAAATCTAAATCTCCCATGTTAGTATTGTTACAAGCCTAAATCTCCCATGTAAGTATTGTTACAAGCCTAAATCTCCCATGTTAGTATTGTTACAAGCCTAAATCTCCCATGTTAGTATTGTTACAAGCCTAAATCTCCCATGTTAGTATTGTTACAAGCCTAAATCTCCCATGTTAGTATTGTTACAAATCTAAATCTCCCATGTTAGTATTGTTAGAAACATAAATCTCCCATGTTAGTATTGTTACAAGCCTAAATCTCCCATGTTAGTATTGTTACAAGCCTATGTTAGTATTGTTACAAATCTACAAGTCCTAAATCTCCCATGTTTAGTATTGTTACAAATCTAAATCTCCCATGTTAGTATTGTTACAAAAATCTAAATCTCCCATGGTGGTAATTAACCCTTTATCCTCTGTAACCTAAAAAAATGGGGGTGGGTTAAAGTGACTTGCTTGGGATGGCCCGTATTCCACTCCAAATCTGACTAGGAAGTCCCATTGTCAGCTCAAGCTGTTCTGTTCACACTACCCAGCATGCAGTATTCTGGCAAGTAAAATTGGCATTGTGATGCTGTCCATGTGACCTAGTGACTTCCAGTTTGACCTCGCAGGAGTATTTTTTAAAGTTCAATGGCCATTGTGAAATTGATCACGTGACCTATTAAATGTCACTGTCTTTGAATTTCGGGGGGCTGCCACCATATCCTGGCCTTATGGAAATGTAACTGCTGCTGCAGAATCAGAAGTTCAACGAAATGATTCATGACAATTCTCACCCATTATCTGTACAGATGGCTCTGTGTTGATAGGGTAGGAGGCATCCTTTGGATGTTTTCTCTGTGTCATGCTGGTGTGTTTGGAAATGAGCAGATAAATATAGTGGCCATTTCTGCACCTTTTGGTGGTAAATTGATGTACGACAAGCTATACGTTATGAGGGCCCTTTAGGAGCGAGTGAACAGTGCAGAGGCACAGATAGATCATTATTGTCTGAGGAGTGTGGCATTGCGGGGAGTGACCAGAGGATTTGGCCATTGCTCAACACTCAAGAGAAAGGTAAGATGGATGTACCATAAGTCACTGGTAACATCAGAATTGTAACTCTCCCCTTGCTGCTGAAGATGGGGGCCGGAGCATTTATGGGAGTGTCCAGAGTGCTGTGATGTTGATTCTTAATTCAGCATTTAAAATGGAGCTTTGGGTGGCAGGAGAATGGGTCAGCACCATATGTTGGCCTTGTGTAACTTTGGATGACAGGAGAATGGGTCAGCACCATATGTTGGCCTTGTATAACTATGGGTGGCAGGAGAATGGATCAGCACCATATGTTGGCCTTGTGTAACTTTGTGTGACAGGAGAAATGGTCAGCACCATATGTTGGCCTTGTGTAACTTTGGATGACAGGAGAAATGGTCAGCACCATATGTTGGCCTTGTGTAACTTTGGATGACAGGAGAAATGGTCAGCACCATATGTTGGCCTTGTATAACTATGGGTGACAGGAGAATGGATCAGCACCATATGTTGGCCTGTGTAACTTTGTGTGACAGGAGAATGGGTCAGCACCATATGTTGGCCTTGTATAACTATGGGTGACAGGAGAATGGATCAGCACCATATGTTGGCCTTGTGTAACTTTGGATGACAGGAGAAATGGTCAGCACCATATGTTGGCCTTGTGTAACTTTGGATGACAGGAGAAATGGTCAGCACCATATGTTGGCCTTGTGTAACTTTGGATGACAGGAGAAATGGTCAGCACCATATGTTGGCCTTGTGTAACTTTGATGACAGGAGAATGGGTCAGCACCATATGTTGGCCTTGTATGACTTTGGGTGACAGGAGAGCATATGGAACTCAGGAGAAATGGTCAGCACCATATGTTGGCCTGTGTAACTTTGTGTGACAGGAGAATGGGTCAGCACCATATGTTGGCCTTGTATAACTATGGGTGACAGGAGAATGGATCAGCACCATATGTTGGCCTGTGTAACTTTGTGACAGGAGAAATGGTCAGCACCATATGTTGAGAACTTTGGGTGACAGGAGAGCACCATATGTTGGCCTTGTGTAACTTTGGGTGACAGGAGAAATGGTCAGCACCATATGTTGGCCTTGTGTAACTTTGGGTGACAAGAGAATGGGTCAGCACCATATGTTGGCCTGTGTAACTTTGGGTGACAGGAGAATGGGTCAGCACCATATGTTGGCCTTGCGTAACTTTGGATGACAGGAGAAATGGTCAGCACCATATGTTGGCCTTGTGTGACTTTGGGTGACAGGAGAGCACCATATGTTGGCCTTGTGTAACTTTGGGTGACAGGAGAAATGGTCAGCACCATATGTTGGCCTTGTGTAACTTTGGGTGACAGGAGAATGGGTCAGCACCATATGTTGGCCTGTGTAACTTTGTGTGACAGGAGAATGGGTCAGCACCATATGTTGGCCTTGTATAACTATGGGTGACAGGAGAATGGATCAGCACCATATGTTGGCCTGTGTAACTTTGTGTGACAGGAGAATGGGTCAGCACCATATGTTGGCCTTGTGTAACTTTGGGTGACAAGAGAATGGGTCAGCACCATATGTTGGCCTGTGTAACTTTGGGTGGCAGGAGAATGGGTCAGCACCATATGTTGGCCTTGTGTAACTTTGTGTGACAGGAGAATGGGTCAGCACCATATGCTGGCCTGTGTAACTTTGGATGACAGGAGAATGGGTCAGCACCATATGTTGGCCTTGTGTAACTTTGTGTGACTGGAGAAATGGTCAGCACCATATGTTGGCCTTGTGTAACTTTGGGTGACAGGAGAATGGGTCAGCACCATATGCTGGCCTGTGTAACTTTGGGTGACAAGAGAAAGGGTCAGCACCATATGCTGGCCTGTGTAACTTTGGGTGACAGGAGAAATTGTCAGCACCATATGTTGGCCTTGTGTAACTTTGTGTGACAGGAGAATGGGTCAGCACCATATGCTGGCCTGTGTAACTTTGTGTGACAGGAGAAAGGGTCAGCACAATATGTTGGCCTGTGTAACTTTGGGTGACAGGAGAATGGGTCAGCACCATATGTTGGCCTGTGTAACTTTGGGTGACAGGAGAATGGGTCAGCACTATATGTTGGCCTGTGTAACTTTGGGTGACAAGAGAAAGGGTCAGCACCATATGTTGGCCTGTGTAACTTTGTGTGACAGGAGAATGGATCAGCACCATATGTTGGCCTGTGTAACTTTGGGTGACAAGAGAATGGGTCAGCACCATATGTTGGCCTGTGTAACTTTGGGTGACAGGAGAATGGGTCAGCACCATATGTTGGCCTGTGTAACTTTGGGTGACAAGAGAATGAATCAGCACCATATGTTGGCCTGTGTAACTTTGGGTGACAAGAGAATGGGTCAGCACCATATGTTGGCCTGTATAACTTTGTGTGACTGGAGAAAGGGTCAGCACCATATGTTGGCCTTGTGTAACTTTGGGTGACAGGAGAAAGGGTCAGCACCATATGTTGGCCTGTGTAACTTTGGGTGACAGGAGAAAGGGTCAGCACCATATGCTGGCCTTGTGTAACTTTGGGTGACAGGAGAAAGGGTCAGCACCATATGCTGGCCTTGTGTAACTTTGGGTGACAGGAGAAAGGGTCAGCACCATATGCTGGCCTTGTGTAACTTTGGGTGACAGGAGAAAGGGTCAGCACCATATGCTGGCCTTGTGTAACTTTGGGTGACAGGAGAAAGGGTCAGCACCATATGCTGGCCTTGTGTAACTTTGGGTGACAGGAGAAAGGGTCAGCACCATATGCTGGCCTTGTGTAACTTTGGAGGCCACATTTGGGGAGAAAATAAAACACTTACTGCCCGCCTAGCTAGCATGTCATAAAAAGCGACTGATTAAAGGCTTTGCTGAAACTAAATGTTTTGGGTTGATGAGATATCACAGCCTAGCTGTGCTTGTGTCAACCACAACATAATGCTTGTTTAAGGGCAAACGAAGTAGAAGACAAACTGCCAGTCAACACAAGGTGTCTTCGTTATTTTTGAATTAGTTCACAGTTGAGCATTAGTTCTAAGCATTAGTTCACAGTTAGGCATTAGTTCACAGTTAGGCATTAGTTCACAGTTAGGCATTAGTTCACAGTTAGGCATTAGTTCAAAGCTGACCATTAGTTCACAGTTAGGCATTAGTTCACAGTTAGGCATTAGTTCACAGTTAGGCATTAGTTCACAGTTAGGCATTAGTTCACAGTTAGGCATTAGTTCACAGTTAGGCATTAGTTCAAAGCTGACCATTAGTTCACAGTTAGGCATTAGTTCACAGTTAGGCATTAGTTCACAGTTGACCATTAGTTCATAGTTAGGCATTAGTTCAAAGTTGACCATTGCATTCACAGCTGAGCTTGGCTGCCAGGTCAGCCCAGCCTAAAATGAGTACCAGGTAATGTCCTGGGAAGTAAAGGTGGCCAACACATTGATCACATCACTCACCAAGTAACAATTGGTCTATAAATGATGAGTCTGGTACCATAAGCCGGATGTGCCACCAGTGTGGAAAGGTTCTTGACTTGTCTTATATTTACCTTAAGGTGCTTAGAGATTGTGTTTGTTAATATGAGTGTCTGGTTTTTGCGTCAACAGATGGCCAGACAGCAACGGGAGAACCCCACACAGATCCCAGCCCATCCAGTCCACATGCTTCAGGTCTGTTGAAAATGCCACCACATTCTGCAGGTCTTCATCGAACCACAGCCAACAACAGTAGTGGTGGAGACTCTACCTATGTGCCAGCTGATGTAGCTGATGTGCCAGCTTACAGCATTGGGGATATGACTCGAACAGACCCCATCAACATTCCTGCTAACAGTTCCCGGGCCAGTGAGGATTCCTACTGGGGATACAGAAATGATGCCTTCGGTGAGGACAAGAATGGTTCCAATCATGAGTGGGACAGTCCAGGCAGAGAGGAGACTTTAGCAGAGTCCACTCTTCCATGGCGTCGACAGTTTAGTCTCCCACCTGTGCCTTCCTCGCTGTCCCTGAGTCTTCCAGATGATGAAAATCCACTCATGTCTGAGGCACCTTCATGGGCAGACAATCTAGCATACAGCCATCTCACAGAGACTGGTTCCCCGTACAACTCACCACAGAACACAATCACCGCCAAACCACCTGTCACCCAGCCCCGTGCAGTGTTTGACATCTTCCCCTCTAGTTCCCCACCTCACAGCGACAGTCCTGTCTCCTCCATCCCACCTCCTTGGAGCCTCAAAAACTGTGTGCCTGATCATCATGACCAAGAGCCACTTCCCAGCCAGGCCATTGCTGGGCGAGACTCCGGAGACAAGGCCAGCTGCTTCCTAGTCTCATCTCATGATCTGGTGCCACCTTCCTACCATTCCTGCATCCAGCCCGCCAGCCGAGGACTGGAGGTGGCCACCTTACGCAGACACAGTGAAGTCAGCTCACCCACACACTTCCAGATTGTGGAGAAGCCTCAGACTATATCTGTGGCTGCTTTAGAGTCGCAGCTGATTGGCATAGAAGAGGATTATCATCATGGCATGAAGGAGAGAGTGTCCCAGTGGCTGGCCAGCTCTAGTCATGAGGGTTCCGATATTGAAGATGTAGACTTTGAACTTTCAACCAAGGAAGAAAGCCAGAAAGTCCTGGAGTCACTGCGGCACAAGAAGGAGACCTGGCACCTGGGTGGCAAAGATGATGGAACTGATGCAGATGTGGAGTCAGATGATGAAGTCGAAGACACTAGGTTGTGATGACTGTAGCGGGAAAATATTGTGTCCTTAGAATTGTGATAGAGCTAAGGTTTGCATACAACTCAGATTAATTGTCAGATTATGATAGATCTCAGATTTATTCATGTGGTCTATGTTAGTTTTTGTTTATAGGGAAGAGGGGTGGAGAGGATTGTAAGATGATGGTAGAATAAAGATTGGGTTGTAAGAGGTGAAATGTCCTGGGGAGAGTAAGATTGTTTGTAAATCTAAAATTGGGTTGTCAGAGTTTGATTTACCCCGGTAGAGTGTAAGACTGTGTGTGGTCGATCTGAGATTGGGTTATCAGATTTTGATCTACCCTGGTCTGGACATAGTGTAAGACTCTGGTAGACCTGAGATTGGGTTGTAAGATTTTGATCTATCCTGGGAGATTGTAAGATTGTGTGTGGTAGGTGTGAGATTGGATTGTCAGATTTTAATCAGTGCTGGGGAGTGTGTGAGATTGTGGTAGACTAGGGATCGGGTTTCAGATTGTGATCAAATTTAAAGAGAGTGTTGAACTGAGTGTGATAGACCTGAGATTGGTTTGTCAGATTTTGATATATCCGGGGAAGAATGTAATATTGTGCTAGGCCCAAGATTGGGTGGAAGACTGTGGTAAGCCAAAGAGTGAGTTGTAAGATTGTCACCCTAGATTTGGTTAAAACTTTGTGATAGATCTCAGATTGTTTCAGAAAGGCCTTATTTCTATAATTCTGATGTGTCTTTTAAGACTGCATATGATTGTGATGTAGAGCCATGACTGTTTACACAAAGATGGTCGGTCTATGCACACGATATCATTTTGGTTATGTTTAATGTGTACATACAGGTAGAGGTTGCAGGGCCCCATTTTGGATCCTGTGCTGTAGTTACAGCCATGAGTTGCTACATTGGGGGGATACTGTGGTGTTCACAGCCAATAGTTGCTACATTGCAGAGGGGGGGGGGGGGAATCCTGTGGTGTAGTTACAGCCATGAGTTGCTACATTGGGGGGGGGGTTCCTGTGGTGTAGTTACAGCCATGAGTTGCTACATTTGGGGGGGATCCTGTGGTGTAGTTACAGCCATGAGTTGCTACTTTAGGGGGGATCCTGTGGTGTAGTTACAGCCATGAGTTGCTACATTAGGGGGGATACTGTGGTGTAGTTACAGCCATGAGTTGCTACATTAGGGGGGATACTGTGGTGTAGTTACAGCCATGAGTTGCTACATTAGGGGGGATACTGTGGTGTAGTTACAGCTATGAGTTGCTACATTAAGGGGGTTTCTGTGGTGTAGTTACAGCCATGAGTTGCTACATTAGGGGGGAATCCTGTGGTGTAGTTACAGCCATGAGTTGCTACATTAGGGGGGAGTACTGTGGTGTTCACAGCCATGAGTTGCTACATTAGGGGAGTACTGTGGTGTTCACAGCCATGAGTTGCTACATTAGGGGAGTACTGTGGTGTTCACAGTCATGAGTTGCTACATTAGGGGAGTACTGTGGTGTTCACAGCCATGAGTTGCTACATCAGGTGGGATCCTGTGGTGTAGTTACAGCCATGAGTTGCTACATCAGGGGGGATCCTGTGGTGTAGTTACAGCCATGAGTTGCTACAATAGGGGGGATCCTGTGGTGTTCACTGCCATGAGTTGCTACATCAGGGGGGATCCTTTGGTGTAGTTACAGCCATGAGTTGCTACATTAGGGGGGATACTGTGGTGTTCACAGCCATGAGTTGCTACATCAGTGGGGATATTGTGGTGTTCACAGCCATGAGTTGCTACATGGGGGGGGGGGGGGGATCCTGTGGTGTTCACAGCCTTGAGTTGCTACATCAGGGGGGATCCTGGGAGTTCACAGCCATGAGTTGCTACATCAGGGGGGATACTGTGGTGTTCACAGCCATGTGTTGCTACATTAGGGGGGATCCTGTGGTGTTCACAGCCATGAGTTGCTACATCAGGGGGGATCCTGTGGTGTTCACAGCCATGAGTTGCTACATCAGGGGGGATCCTGGGAGTTCACAGCCATGAGTTGCTACATCAGGGGGGGATCCTGTGGTGTTCACAGCCATGAGTTGCTACATCAGGGGGGATCCTGGGAGTTCACAGCCATGAGCTGCAACATCTAGGTGGAGACTGTGGTGTTCACAGCCATGAGTTGCTACATCAGGGGGATCCTGCGAGTTCACAGCCATGTCAGGAGAAACAGAGACAGCAACGAATGGTTCATAGAATCTTTAGACAACGGTTGACACGATCTTGAGACATCAGTTAAGAAAATATTGAGAACAGTTGACAATATCTCGAGACAACAGTTGATAAGATCTTGAGACAACAGTTGACAAGATCTTGAGACAACAGTTGACAAGATCTTGAGACAACAGTTGACAATATCTTGAGACAACAGTTGACAAGATCTATTGACAGTGGTTGACAAAATCTTAAGACAGTTAAGATCTTGAGACAATGGTTGACAAAATCTTGAGACAACAGTTGGCAAGATCTTGAGACAACAGTTGACAAGATCTTGAGACAACCGAATAGTTCTCTAAAGTGAGGTAGTGTTCTACAATTTTATGCAGCTTTCTGTAAAGCTAGGTAATTTTCTGTGAGGTGAGATAGATTCTCATGAGGTGAGGTATCATGTTAAATGAGGCAGCTTTTTTTTATAGTGAGACAGTTTTCTGTGAGTTAGGTAATTTTCTGTGAAGTAAAATAGTTTTTCTCTGAAGTGAGGTAATTTTTTCTGAAGTGAGATTTTCTGTGAGGTGAGGTGAGGTAGTCATGTGTAAAGTGAGGTAGTCCTATGTGAGGTGAGGTAGTCCTGTTTGAGGTGAGGTAGTCTTATGTGAGATGAGGTAGTCTTATGTGATGTGATGTAGTCCTATGTGAAGTGAGATAGTCCTATGTGAAGTGACGTAGTCCTGTGTGAAGTGATGTAGTCCTATGTGAAGTGAGATAGTCCTGTGTGAAGTGAGATAGTCCTATGTGAAGTGAGGTAGCTGTGAAGATTGCAAGAGACAGGGACATGACATACTGTAGAATTCCCAGTCTGCCTCTGCTGACAAAAACGAAACAATGCACATGACAGACAAGCCAACAGAGAACAAAAATCAGTGTATATAATCAACATAGAACTGATCAAATTTTAAGTTCCTGGACACAAATATGGTAATTGTACTCCTGCGCTGAGACACAGAACTATGGAGAACCAGTCTTGTGAGATAGATATGATCGCTGAGGCACTAGAACTGTACTGAGGTACCAGATCTGTACTGAGGTACCAGATCTGTACTGAGGTACTAGATCTGTACTGAGGTACTAGATCTGTACTGAGGCACTAGATCTGTACTGAGGCACTAGATCTGTACTGAGGTACTAGATCTGTACTGGGGTACGAGATATGTGCTGAGGTACTAGATCTGTACTGAGGTACTAGATCTGTACTGAGGTACTAGATCTGTACTGGGGTACTAGATCTGTACTGAGGTACTAGATCTGTGCTGAGGTACTAGATCTGTACTGGGGTACTAGATCTGTACTGGGGTACTAGATCTGTACTGGGGTACTAGATCTGTACTGAGGTACTAGATCTGTACTGAGGTACTAGATCTGTACTGAGGTACTAGATCTGTACTGAGGTACTAGATCTGTACTGAGGCACCAGATCTGTACTGAGGTACTAGATCTGTACTGGGGTATTAGATATGTACTGAGGTACTAGATCTGTGCTGAGGCACCAGATCTGTGCTGAGGCACCAGATCTGTACTGTGGTACTAAATATGTACTGTGGTACTAGATCTGTACTGAGGTACTAAATCTGTACTGAGGTACTAAATCTGTACTAAGATATTACAACTGTGATAAGATGCTCTGTGTGAATATTACACTCTGCTGATGTGTACATCATCAGTGTTTACCTCATATGTGAACATTTTTACAGCACCATATGTGCACACCACATGTGCACACTGTATGCGCACACCTTGACAATAAACTTGCAAATGATATCTGTAGTAGGATTATATGTTTGTGTTCTTCGTGGAAAATTAAAGGGAAATAGATGGAATAAAGAAACAAGGATGTCCGAGAGAAACCCTGAGGTAAACATGGATGAGAGAAGCCAAAGCTACTGGACTGGATTCCATCCTTGATATCCAAGTGATGGCACAGGTCAGAACACAGTGGAAAAGCAGACTGTGAGCCCTGTGGGACAGACATACAATGGCACAATAGTAGACTGTGAGCCCTGTGTGACAGACATACAATGGCACAATAGTAGACTGTGAGCCCTGTGTGACAGACATACAATGGCACAATAGTAGACTGTGAGCCCTGTGTGACAGACATACAATGGCACAAATAGTAGACTGTGAGCCCTGTGTGACATACAATGGCACAATAGTAGACTGTGAGCCCTGTGTGACATACAATGGCACAATAGTAGACTGTGAGCCCTGTGTGACATACAATGGCACAATAGTAGACTGTGAGCCCTGTGTGACAGACATACAATGGCACAATAGTAGACTGTGAGCCCTGTGTGACATACAATGGCACAATAGTAGACTGTGAGCCCTGTGTGACATACAATGGCACAATAGTAGACTGTGAGCCCTGTGTGACAGACAGACAATGGCACAATAGTAGACTGTGAGCCCTGTGTGACAGACATACAATGGCACAATAGTAGACTGTGAGCCCTGTGTGACAGACATACAATGGCACAATAGTAGACTGTGAGCCCTGTGTGACATACAATGGCACAATAGTAGACTGTGAGCCCTGTGTGACATACAATGGCACAATAGTAGACTGTGAGCCCTGTGTGACAGACATACAATGGCACAATAGTAGACTGTGAGCCCTGTGTGACATACAATGGCACAATAGTAGACTGTGAGCCCTGTGTGACAGACATACAATGGCACAATAGTAGACTGTGAGTCCTGTGTGACATACAATGGCACAATAGTAGACTGTGAGCCCTGTGTGACATACAATGGCACAA